TTGAACCCAGGGCCTCAGGCATGCAAGGCAAGCGCTCTACCACTGAGCCACCTTCCCAGCCCCATTGGCCATCTTGTAACTGACAGTGATTTTTGTCTGTGCTCCATATCATAAGGGGAATCTGGAAATCCTCCCTGCCTCTAAACAGGAGCTGGCGACATAGGAGCAGGCATCTCTTTGAAGCTGAATGCACTCCAGCCCTTGTGTTTGGACAGTCTGCTCAGTGGTTGGTTGGTAGAGAGTGATGGCAGATCCCAGTCAAGGAACAGTCAGGGAATGCTTGAAGGGAACAGGGGCTCTGTTGTGGAGGTGAGCAGCTGGGGTCAAAGCTGGAAGCCTGTCTGGAAGACCTTGAACTGAGGCCAGAGTGCAGTGGAAGGGCGTGGAGGGCTGTAGTCAGCAGACCCTAGGGAAATCAGCCACTTCATTCCTGTCCCCTGGAAGTTTAGGGACCACTTCATGTTCTCCCCCCTGCCAAAAAAGTCAGGAATTGGGCTGGGCCAGCTGTAGTGACCCTGGTCTTCTATTTCCAGAGAGATCTTGGTAGAGGAGAGCAATGTGCAGAGGGTAGACTCGCCGGTCACAGTGAGTATGCTGCCCCTGCTTGGCCTCTTGGGCACGCTTTGTTATTCCACAAGGCCACTTCTCATTACTGAGAGCCCAGAAAGCCCTGTGTCGTGTCCTAACCCCTTCCTGCCATCTTCCCTCCCATCTGAGATCAACGTTTAAAGCCAACCTGGTCAGACAAGAGACTCAACTCCACTTACCAAAAAGCCAGAGGTGTGGCTCAAGTGATAGAGCACCAGCTCTGAGGAGAAAAAGCTGAGCACAAGACCTAGGAATAAGGCCTCAGTTCTAGTTCCAGTACTGACTGAGGATGTAGCTCATTGGCAAGCATTTGTTTGCCTAATGTATATAAGGCCCAGGGTTCCATCTTGCATATCACAAAAAAGAAGAGAGGTAATAATGACCTGTTCACCTGGCTCAAGTGTTAGAGTACCTAACCAATAAGTAAAAGGCCTGGAATTCAAACTCTAGTAACTGCCAAAAACAAAACAAAACTGGACACTGGTGTCTCACACCTATAGTCCTAGCTACTAAAGAGGCTGAGGTTAAGATTGAAGTTCCAGGCCAGCCCAGTCAAATTAAAGTTTGCAGGAGCCTAACTCAACACAGAAGTCTTACGTGTGATGGTGTGCACATGCCATTCCGTGACCTCAGGCGCTCATGGAAAAATGAGACCCGAGTTCAGAAATAATCAGAGTGAAAAAGGCTGAGCCATAACTCAGGTAGTGTAGCTCCTGCCTAATCAAGCACAAAACGCGCCCTGAGAACAAATTCCAGTACTACCAGAAAAGAAGTAGGAATTTTATTAGGAGGAAACTTGGTTGGGGGCAGAAGGACTCTTAACTTGGTGAGTGGTTCTAGTCACATGTCTCTGTGGCCTTGTCAGTATCTTTATGCTGGGGATGTGAGGGGACTTGAGAGAGGGGCCAAGTTGTCAGAGCTGTGGGTCTCTCTGGAAACTTAATACTGCTCTTGCTCAGAGCAGTTAACACTCGCTGTGGGGGGACATGGGGCGGGGGGGGGGTGGCAGGGAATGGTAGTTTGGGACCTGAGACAAGTGGTGAAAGTGTTTACATTCTCAAGTTTCTTATGTTAGACCCTGGGGACAAAAGGACTGTCCCTTTGTTCACTCTGAGTGTCAGGCTTTCTTCCTTTGCAGGTGTGTGGCGACATCCACGGGCAGTTCTATGACCTGAAGGAGCTGTTCAGAGTGAGTGGGAGCAGCTGGGAACGGGCTCCGGGGCTGCTGGGGGTCAAGCCCCACGGGCTGAGCGGAACTCCTACTTTGCTGTATGCAGGGGTCAGAAGTCGATGGGCCTTGGCAAAAGATTGGCCTGGACTGGATGAGACCTGGTCATTGTGTTGGGAGGGATGGGGGTGGGGGGAATGGTTCAGGTCCAAACAAAACCAACTCCCTCTGTCTAGGTGGGTGGCGATGTCCCTGAGACCAACTACCTCTTCATGGGGGACTTTGTGGACCGTGGTTTCTACAGTGTCGAAACTTTCCTCCTGCTGCTGGCACTCAAGGTGGGAGCGAGTGGCCACCTCAGTACCCTGCCTACTTCCAGCCCTGTCCGTCTGTCTACTTGCCACGCCCGCAGCGGGGCAGTCCAAGAGGCCTTGACCTCTAATAAGGCCATCCAACCGGCCTTGGGGGGATGACCCCAGCCAGGCACGGGGCCTGGGTGGGAACAGAGGCTCTGTGGTCGGGAGGTGGCCTCTGGGCCACAGGATCCATTGGTGCGAGGTGATTGGACCTCAGGTGTGTGTAGACTTGGCTTGGGATCTGAAGTTTGAAAGACAAGCCACTGTGTTTGTAGCTGGGGGGCTTGGGTGTCCATCCTGTGGGGGGGATGCAGCACAATTTAGGTAAGAGATGGCACAAGTGTGGGCCAGGACGGTGGTGGTGACCGCGAAGTTGATGGACGTGTGGACTTAGGGAGGAGACAGGTGGAGGGCCGGGCTGCAGCCAGCGCTGGTGTTGGTGTTCTGCCGCCGCTAGGTTCGTTACCCTGACCGCATCACCCTCATCCGCGGCAACCACGAGAGCCGCCAGATCACGCAGGTCTATGGTTTCTACGACGAGTGTCTGCGCAAGTACGGCTCGGTGACCGTGTGGCGCTACTGCACTGAGATCTTTGACTACCTCAGCCTGTCGGCCATCATCGATGGCAAGGTAGGCTGGCTCCTCGGGATCGGAGAGCGAGGGTGCTCCTGGCCGACACCTCCCTTCCCTCTGGCATTTGTCTCCCTTCTAGATCTTCTGTGTGCATGGGGGCCTTTCCCCCTCCATCCAGACTCTGGACCAGATCCGGACAATTGACCGAAAACAAGAGGTACCCCATGACGGGCCCATGTGTGACCTCCTGTGGTCCGACCCTGAAGGTGAGGCTGGGCAGGTGGGTGCCCTTGGCCAGGCCGCTCCGCGCTTAGCTTGGCCAGGCAGACTAAAGCAAGTGCCGGAAAGGCCAGTTAGACTAGGGAGGAGCGGGACAAAGCAAAGCCACACTTGCTGCATCCTCCACCTGCCTGGCTGGACCTGTAGAGAACCGGCAGCATGGGGGGCGAGTGCGGGGACCGAGCGGTAGAAGCACGCATACTGAGGCCGGGGGCTGGCGGGGCCGGAGTCCCTGGCTCCCTCAGTGGGAAGGGACTTCAGAACCTGATAGCACTAGCTTCAGAGGCCAGGCCCCCAAAAGGGTCGCTCCCTGAAGACCCCCTCATTTTGTAGGATTCCCTGACAACAGGGGACAGAGCTGAGATTTAAAATCAGCTCCACTCCATCTTGCCACTGCAAGATGGCCTTAGCATGGCCGCTGTTTGGCTGGGTCCCTCCTGGCCTACGCCTGCCATTCCCGGCCTGGCCTTCGTGAGCCTCCCTGATGGAGGAACAAGGTGGTGTGTGTCCCTGTGAGCAGGCAGACCCCACCCCCGGGCCTTCTGGGTGGAGCTCACCTGCCTTGCCATTTGCCATCCGCTCTCCACAACCCCGTAGAGCCTCTGGTCCATAGAACAGGGTGGTCCCCTCCGGGGCAGCGGGCGAGCGGAGATCTTGAGCCCCGCCCCCTTCCCCCCCATCCTTGCCTTGCACCTCAGATACCACAGGCTGGGGTGTGAGCCCCCGGGGGGCCGGCTACCTGTTTGGCAGTGATGTGGTGGCCCAGTTCAACGCAGCCAACGACATTGACATGATCTGCCGTGCCCACCAGCTGGTGATGGAAGGTTATAAGTGGCACTTCAACGAGACCGTGCTCACCGTGTGGTCCGCACCCAACTACTGCTACCGGTGAGCTGGCCGAGCCACGTGACCGGGGCGGGCGTAGGGAAGGGGGTCTGAGGCGGCCCCTAACCGTTGCCCCTGTGTCCAGCTGTGGGAACGTGGCAGCCATCTTGGAGCTGGATGAACATCTCCAGAAAGATTTCATCATCTTTGAGGCCGCTCCCCAGGAGACACGGGGCATCCCTTCCAAGAAGCCCGTGGCTGACTACTTCCTGTGACCCCTCGGCTTGCTTCTCAGCCTCTCTGGCCCTTGGACCACTGTGACTGCCCTCTCTCTCCTCAGTTGGAGGCTGGGCGTGCTCTCCCCAGGGTGAGGACTTTATCGGGAGAGATTGGAGCCTCGGCCCCAGGCTCCCTTCTCCTTTCTCCCCACTCAAACCATGAAGTTTTCAGTCTTTTTTTTTTTTTCTTTTTCTTTTGTTTGTTTTTAGATAAAAGTTTTGAGAAAAAAAGAAGAAAAAAATTCTAATAAAAGAAGAAAAATAAATGGTTTGGGGGTTTGTGTCAGGCTTGCGTAGGGAGTGGAGGAGCCAGCCTGGGACATGGGGTACGTGCTTCAGTCCAGACTGCTAGGAAGGAAGTCTGGGTGCTCACCCAGAGTCTTCGTGTCCCCGCCCAGCAAAATCGCTCCCAGAGGGGCCTACCCAGTGCCAGATAGCCACGGGAGACAACCCGCATCCGGAGACCTCTCCACCCCTATTTTTCTGAAGAGAAAACCCGTCAGAACAGATAGATTTCTGTGCGTAAAGCTAGACATGTGGAGAGTGACCATCCCAGGCCTGGCTTGGGTCTGCTACAGTCTTGACTCTACGTAGCCCCAGTGAGTACCAGCAGGACTGATGTCTTTCGAGTTTTATTAACAAAAATTACTCTGCTCCTGAGAACAAATTGGTGGCGGCTTGCCCCCGCGGGCGGGGGGGGCGCTGCTGTCCCATTTGGCCAGGCCAGGCTCCATTCACACCAAGGTGAGAGCAGGGAAGGGGAAGCTGGCCCCAGCTGGATTCCAGCAGCCTCTCCTGGGCTTTGAAGCCAGAGGGGGTGGGAGTGAAGTCAAGGTGTGAAGTTGGGGGGGGGGAGGCAGCCATTTGGCAGAAGGGGAGGAGGGCAGAAAGTTGAGGGGGGCTACTGGGTTGGGGGAAGGGAAGCAGCGGAGGTAGTTGGGGAAGATGCCACAGGGCTCTGCAGTGTCTCAGTACATTGGTTTAGAGCCCACATCCAGGAACCCTGAAGGTCCTGGGTAGGGGATGGAGAACGGCCCCCCTTGGAGGAAGTGTGGGGTAAAGGGTGCTGCTGGTGGAGCTGCCGCGAACCCTGAGCCCCCCGGCCCCGGCTGCAGCTCCAGAAATGCAGCTGAGTAGGGGGCTGTGCGCCCGGATTCCACAGCCTCAGGAAAGCTGGGGTTCCTGAAGTAGAGAGAGGTGTCAGAACGGGGGAGACGCCCGCCCTGCCCAGAGCAGCCCACCCGTGCCCTCACCTGGCCGGTAGGTGGCTGGGGGCCCCGTGGAAAGCGGCCGGGTGGAGGACGTAGGCCTCAGCACTGGGACCTCCACAGGGAGGCGCCGGGGCAGGAGCAGCTTCTCCCGGAGCTGGGACCTGCTCGGGGTCCGACTCCGGAATGTCCCCACCCAGTGTGGAGTCACAGGGACCCCCTGGTGTATCTGGGGGAGACAAAAGGGATACACTGGGCCAAGGAGGATCATGGTGGCAGGCCTCCCGGCACGCAGGACAGCACTCACCTCCGTTCCCGCAGGCCTCTGTGGCTGCTGGCTCTGTGCCCCGAAGTCTCCTCTTCACACGGGCGTCTCGCTCCCTGGGGAACAGTGATGGTGATGATGGTGATGGTGATGATGATGGCACTAAGAGTACTTACCAGGTGCCAAGCATGTCACCCTCCTGGGGTCCCTGTCAGTTACGTGTCATTTATTGTGCCCATTTTACAGATGAAGAAACTAAAGACCAGAGAATTCCCATGACAAGGAAGCGCAGAGCTAAGATTTAGGGCCCACTTGGAACTTTGCAGTGCTGTCCCTCTCCATGGAAACCGGGCAGTGGTGACACGGCCACTAGCACACCCAGCCTGATACTTGCACTTTCCTCATCCCAGCCCCCAGCAGCAACCTTTCTGGAACTTTCCATCACCTCTGCAGTTGCCCCACCCGTCCTTCTCAGCATAACTTCCAGCATATGTCACTTCCAACATCTCTTCCTCCAGGATGACCTGGCCTCCTTCCTGATGTTTCTTACGAGCACCCCAAGAGCAGGGGGCAGCCCAGGGGGCCGGACTCCGATGCCCAGTCATTAGTAGTCCCTTACAGTCTGGCCTAAACTTGCTTCCCATCACTACATCCAGCATTGCCAAGGCCAAGTCCTGCCCCAGGGCCCTGCATGTCACCTGGGCCCACAGCCTCCCCCTCCCCTTCCCCTTCCCTCACGTCCTCAGAGAGGCCTTTGCAGACCTCTTATCTAATACTCCACTCTTTCTCTCCCCCTCCCTCGCTTTCCTGTTGGGGATGGAATAGTGCATTACCACTGAGCCACACTCCAGCTCCACCCTCCTCCCTATCCTCCCCTGCTTTGTTTCTCTTCTCTATGGAACTTAACATTCTAACCATTTGTTTCTCTCGTATACTTGCAAATCCATTCCATGAGGACCCGTGATCTGAGCATTGACTGAATCAATGACTTAAAAAGATGTTTTTACTCTTCATTATTGTTCTTGACGCCCAGCACAGGGCCTGACCACATCAGGACTAATAAATGGTGAAGAAGAGTGCAGGAATGAGCAAGGTGTGGCTCAGGTCGGTAAAGTGCTTGCCTAATAAAGCCCCAAGTCCCTGAGTTCAAACCCCAGTAACCACAGGAAAAAACAAATACCCACCTCTTGCAGTTTCTGCCATTCTCCCGGAACCCTTTGGCAAAGGGATTGGCTGCAATCTTCAGTTGTGTGATCTGGGGACACACATCTGGGCTGAAGCTCCTTTGTGACCTAGGCAGACCCTCCAGGCCCCCACCCCACCCCCGCCCGGCACTCACCCGTGGGTTCTGGTAGGCTGTGACAGAGATAAAAGTGGTCTCAGGGAAGCGGAAGGAGGCCACGCCCCCCCAGTGTTGGCTGCAAAGCTGGGCTGCCCGTACCAGGTGGATGCGGGGCTGATACTTGTGCATGGAATGCAAGATCAGCTGGAAGGGGAGAAATGCGGGTGACTCACTATTCTCAGCCTTTGTCCCAACATCACCCCCCACCCCTATTCTGGGGTCCCAGTCTGAGCCTCACATGGCCATGGGGGTCCAGTGTGCTGTTGGTGAGTTTGACACGGTGGAAGGACACGGGCTGCCGCATCCAGTGGGCCCCCGTGGCAGGGGAGTCGGGGTGAATGTACACACGATCCGGCAGCCGGGGCTCAGCCTTGCCGCTGGGCTCCCATCGCCGGCCCTGCCAGCGGTATCGAGCCCCGTCCACTGGAACCACATCCAGAAGGAACAGGTAGCGAGCCTCAGGGTCCAGGCCTGTGACGGACACTCGGCAAGCTGGAAACATGCGCCTGGCACCCGGGAAGAGGGGGAGAAGCCTGGAGCTACCCACTGCCAGAGGCAAGGCCGTTACCAGCAGGCAGCTCCCAGTGAGCGCTAGAGTTCTGCTACACAAAGTTCAAGGGAAGTAGAATTATACCCCAGAGGGAGTTGGGAGCTGGTGGCTCATGCCTGTCATCCTAACTACTCAGGAGGCTGATGTGAGGATCACAGTTTGAAACCAGCCTGGGCAGGAAAGTCCATGAGACTCTTACCAAATGGCAGAGCACTAGCCTTTGGACACAAAAGCAGCTCAAGGACCGTGCCCAGGCCCTGAGTTCAAGTTCCAAGAACATCACCAGTCCCCACACCCCCAAACCAAAAATACCAAGAGTCTAGGAAGGTAGCTCAGGCTTGATGGGGAAATAGGATCCTAAGCAAAGCCCACAATTTTTTTTTTTTTTTTTGTCGGTCGTGGGGCTTGAACTCTGGGCCTGGGCGCTGTCCCTCAGCTCTTCAGCTCAAGGCTAGCACTCTACCACTTGAGCTACAGTGCCACTTCCGGTTTCCTGGTGGTTTATTTGAGATAGGAGTCTCATGGTCTTTCCTGCCCCGGCTGGCTTTGAACCGCGATCCTCAGATCTCAGCCTCCTGAGTAGCTAGGATTACAGGCGTGAGCCACCAGCGCCCGGCAAAGCCCACAATCTTGACCCCAGCTCTTCTTGCAGAAGAGGTGCTATCTTGTCTCCCTAAAACCTTGCCAAGAAGCCTCCTACTTTCCACTCTGATCCCTTCACTTGGTCTCCACAACTGTTAGGCAAAATTGCTTAGGGAAAAAAAAAAAGCCCTAAACCATAGCACAGGCCCTTAGATAGCTGGCCACCAGCCACACGCTGCTTCCTTGTCTCTAGGGTGTGCCTGGATCTTGTCACACGCTGCCTCATACTTAAGTCACACATGCTTCTTGCTCCTGATCCTGGACAGATTTTCCGATGCTAGTCACTCGGCTGACCTTTGACCTCAGTCAGTCTGAATCTGATTCTAGACACACACACACTGATCACTGCCTGATCTAGGCCACACACTAACCTATAACCCAGCCAGACCTTCTGCTACAGGTCCAAAGTGGTTCTCAATAGATTGGCTTCTAAACCCAGTCAGAGACCTCACAGACTGACAGTTGGCCCTGGCCACAGAATGATTCCCGATGCCATCCAGCGTCATCCTTGTCTAGGGCATCATCAGATTCAAAAGAGCTGCAGCTCCAAAGAAATCCCCAAACACGGCGCCAGAGCCCCCAAGAACTTCGCCTTTCACGAGACCCAGCTCAAACTGACTTGGCCACCCTCACCTGCCGGCCTTGGTGATAATCATCTCTGTCCCCACAGCGCTGAATTCTTTCCACAGCTCCTGATTCTCCAGGCTCAGGCTGACCCCGGGGAGCGAGTGGAGGGCCTCTGGGGCTGGTGGGGCTGGCTCAGCACCCAGGGCTGGGGGCAGAAGGGGCAGAGGTGGGGGTGCAGCCAGGGTGCGTGGAGCAGCCTCAATCCCAGAGAGGAAGCAATCCATCTTGGGGGGATCCAGATCTGGAGATGTTGGAAGAAGAAGAAATCAGCAGCGGGAAGCACAGCCCCAATCCTCTACCCAGAAAGGGGGTCTCACTTCTCACCTGGGTAGCGATAGCCCTCTGCCAGGGCAGGTCCAAAACTGGAATCTGTCCCTGGCTGGGGAGGCCCCAGGCGGTAGCCTGTCCCCAAGGAGGGGTATAACTCTCGTGGATGGTACATGTTGTAGTCCCTTCTAGCCTCAGGGCACGTTGCTAGAGTCCCAGGGTGCTGAGAGGTGCCCCCTTTATAGCTCACAGCTCAGCCCCTTCCAGACCCGAGATCACAGCCCCTCCCCTCTTTGGGGCCCTGGAGGTGGGCTGGAGTGGAGACCCCTGGGGGCCTTGAAGGGGTCCAAGAAGGGGCCGGATACCTGGGTACCCTCCCCTCTCCTCTCCCCCACCCCACCTCCCCGTGTGGCTTCATTAGCCCCGACCCCCTGCCCCCTCATTACATAATTAACTCCTCGGTCTGATTGATCCCCAGCGCTTGGACAGGGACGCAGTTTGGCCCTTCCGGCCAGCTGGTCCGGGTTCCCACGGCAGGAGCCTCGGCTAGCAATAAGCCCGAGGCGGGGCCTGGACCCTGAAACTGAAGCTGAGGCAGTCCTTGAGGACCCCAGATTTTTTGCCAGGTGACTCCCTATCACCACCCACAACACATTTCACTTGGACTGGCCTAGGAGGGGAGGAGGAGGAGTACAGGGTTGGAAAGTCATGGCCTGAGCTAATTACTCGGGAGCACTGGGAAACATCAAGAAATCCGTCGCAAAAGACAGAACCCCGAGGTCCTCCTTGCTTTCCATTCCATAAACCCCCCACCCTCCGTCACGTCTCAAAAAGTTTGAGGAATGAGCACAGCTCAAAAGTTCCTGACGTCTCACGCCTCAGAGTTGCTTAGAGGATCCAAGGGAACTACACTTCCCAGCAGGCCTCGCGCCACAAGTGCGTAAGAAGGTCGGGAGCAGTTCGCGCTAGGATGACTGGGAGTTGTAGTTCGAAGAAGAGGTTCGGTTGAAATCGAGGCACGCCGGCCTGCTGATTGGGAACAGCCCCTAGGCGGCAGCCAAACACTAAGGCCAAAAAAAGCACAGACCAATAGCCGAGGTCAAGGCCTAGAGGGTCATTGTGGGCTTTGTGATCTCCACTGGCACTGGAAATGCACCAACTTGAGCTTAGGCTCAGAACAGGTCTATAGTGCAGGAGTCTAAATCCGAGTCTCCCCGTCCCGTCCCCCCCCTCCTTCCTGGATTCCACATGAGCCTGGGGCTGGTCTGCACTTCATTGTTTTATTATGTACAAACGCTACAGAACGAGGGGAACAGACACGCATGGGGTAAGAGGGGCCAATGGGAGTAGAACGTCACAGGGCAGATAGTGCACTGGGGCCAAGACAGCAGCACACAGGCCATAACTATGGGGCAGGCGGGACAGGAAGGAAGGGGTAAAAAAAACAACAAAACAAGATCCAAGCCAGCCAGATCACAGGAAGGAACAGGGGTGGGGGGGGTTGTCTTCCCCCTTCTGATTTCCCCCTCCCCCCCAAAGTCACAGTGCATGCAATAAAATATATGTACAGGAGCTGGATCCTTCCTGCCCTGCAGGAGCCCCGAGTGTCCAGAGCTCCCTTCTGCTGGAGGGAATCCAGTGGCGCCCCCTGGCGGCCAGGCCAGGCTGGCGCCACATGCGTCAGGAGCAGGGGTCAGTCCCAGCCGTTGTCTTTGATCATGTGGTTGAGTTCAATGATGTACTTCCCCTCTTTGTACTTCTGGCTGCTCTCAAAGGCCTGCTCCTGGAAAGGAGGGGAGGAGCCAGTCATCTCCCCGGCAAATGCTTTACCACCAGCCATAGGAGTTGGGGAGTATGACTGGACCCATTTTACTCAGGAGGAAACTGGCCCGGGGAAGCCAAGCAACCTGCCCACAGACTGGTAAATGGTAGGGCTGTTTCTCACTACCAGGGTGCAGTCAGAATTCTGAATCACAGCTACTTTTGGAGTACTAACAGCAGCTCCAATGGAGGACCTAGAAGAGCTCCTAGGGTTGCAACTAGTTGGTGGCCCTGCGAGCCATTTCAACCTACATGTGGTTTGGGGTGGACAGCAGAGTTTAATATAAATAACTTTAGGTGGCTGAGCACTTGTATAGCAGGTACGAGGTCCTGGGATAGATCCCAGCACGTCAGACAGAAACAAAAGAAAACAACTAAATAGTAAACAATCCTCATTTCTAGGTACGAATGCTCACTTCCGTTTGCTAGTCTGCTTTCTCACCAGATACTATGATTCCTCTTTGACAAATCCAGTGTTTACTTGACTTTGCAAAGGTTAAGCATCTTTTGTTTTTGTGTGTGTGCCGGCATTGGGCTTAAACTCCAGGCTTGGACACTGTCCCCTCGCTTTTACCACTTAAAGTTGGTGCTGTACCACTTTGAGCTATCCCACGACTTCTGGCTTTTCTAGTAGTTAACTAGAGATCTGTCTCACAGACTTTCCTCATCTGGGCTGGTTACCAACCCTTGGTCCTTAGTTCTCAGCTTCCTGAAGAGGTAGGTTTACAAGTGTGAGCTACTAGTGTCCAACTAAGATGAAAAGTTTTTAATCTCTGGATCTGGCCATCTCATTCTTTTACAGAGATTCTCAGAGAACCCAAGACACTTATCCAGAGACACAGAGCAAATCTGTGGCAGGGCAAGAGGTAAACTCAAGTCAGGTATCTTAGCCTGGGACATCCACCCCACCAAAATACTCAGAGCGAGGCCTCCCCCAATCCTTTGAAGATTCCCAAGAGCATATCTAATCTGATCTCCAGAAAGGTGTGGGGTGCCTCCTGGCGGCATTATCTTCCAATGCCAGATAAGGAAATGAGACTCAGTGTAGTGAAATCAGATCCTCCACCGCAGCTGAAGTAGGGAGAGGGTGGAAAAGGAGTCTAACTTCCATATTGCCAAAGGGGTCCAGGCAACTTCTCTGATTCTCCAGGAATAACAGTATGAATAGTGACCCAGGGTTTGTTTTTGTTTTTAAAGTCAAAGGCCACAAACAAGCTCTGTAATTCTAGCCCCCAGGAAGCTAAAGCAGGTGGACGGTGAGATCTAAGCCAGCCAGGGCTAGATAGTAAAACTTTGTATTAAAAAAACAATTACAACAATAAACAAAATAAAACAAGAACAACAAAACAAAACATCAACAAGCCAAGCAAGAGTCTGGTCCCTATCCTGTTACTAGCGGCTTGTTCTTGGGCAAGTTCCCTAATAACTCCAGGCCTCCTTCTCTTCTACAGAAAATAGATTCTACCCTCAGCACTACTGTCAACAGTAGTGCTTGCAACAGTGTTGGCAAGGAACTGTTCAGTATGTGGTCTCTGCTTATACCTTGTCTCTAAAATAGGGGTGGAAGAGGTGAGTTAGGGGAAAAAATCCTAAAAGCCCTTTGTAGGCTGTGAGGGAAGAGGTCATGGTCAGGAGGTGAAGACAGTTTGGTTTGTCTGCGCAGGCCCTTATGCACTCTGAAAGGTTACAGAGACTGTAAGGAAGAGGCGATGTGAGGTCGAATCAAAGGCCCGCCTGGGCACCCAGATCACTGACTCACATATTTCCAGCCCAAAGTGGTCTTGCAGTTTTCACAGTGGATGTCAGCGACAGCATGGAGGCCTGTCAGCAGCACCCGCTCCTCGGCTGGCCCGCAGCCCACGTTTACCCTGTGGGGACATGGGACAGTCCCAGGGAGAGTTGCACCAGCACACAGCCCTCCCCTGCCAAGCTGGCGTCCAAGCCCGTGCGTCCTGAGCCTCCAAGAAAAGGGTGATCAATGGCTTCCTGTCTGAATTCCTGAACCATGGAACTCTGGGATTCTCAGGGGGAGGGGGGAGGTCACAGGCCACAAGAGGTCAGGGAAAAGAAAGACAGCAGACTAATACTCACACAGAATTGAAGAGGTAGGCGCGCCCCTGACTGCCCTGGAAGGACTAAAGGGAGGAAAGCCAAGAGGGGATCAGGACGGCTGATGGGGAGTTGCCAAGTAGCCCTTGTGGCCCCCATTCTCGCCTTGGCCGGGGCCTGGTTACCTTGGAGATGAGGTCGTCGTGGTTGGCCAGGTGAGCGCGGCAGTGGGCGCAGCTATACCTCCGATGGCAATCATCCAAGTAGGCCTGAAACGTCTTGGGCTTTGATATCCGCACCATGGCGGGGGCCAGGGGCAATGGCCCCACGCGGGGAGCGGCCCACGGGGAGCAGAGGGAGCCCAGTGCCTGCCAGGGAGGGAGGAGAGGGCGCCGTGAGGCCCCTCTGGCCACACACACTCACACACACACACACACACACAGACAGACACACAGACAGACAGACAGACAGACAGACACACACACGGAGGCACGCTCAGACCCGTGGGGACCGTCACACTTGGCTACTCTCCTTTCCCCAGAGCCGGCAGCCTCACCAGGGACCAGAGTCGACTCGGTTTGGCCTCCGTAAGGAGGCCTCAGGTTGCATCAGTGGGGAAACTGAGGCTAGGAGGAGCCGCTTCCGGTTTCAGCCTGGCTGATGGGGCAGGTGAAGCTGGTTAAGGGGCTTGCGAGTGGATGGGCCGTCCGTCTCCAGTTGAGGGGGGTGGGGGGGGCCTAGGCATCACCGGTTCTTAGGACCCTCATTCGTGTGCTGTGGGTGGGGCTATTTGGGGGGTTCACCTGGGGAGAGGGGTCCTCCACCTGGAGGCGGCCTCGCTGAAGGGTCAGCTAGGAAGGGGGGGAGGCTCTTACCTGGGCGCGCTAGGTCTCATCTCCGCCGAGGGAATCTTACCTGCGTCGCGGGGCCTTACCTGAG